TCTCTGACAATATATGTTTCTAGGCACAACTACTAAAAGGGCAAGGGAATTTGTTGGACCTAGTGGATCCAAGGTTGCGCTCAGACTTCAACAAAGAAGAGATGATGCTTACAATCAATGTGGCTCTCCTCTGCTGCAATGTCACTTCAACAGTTAGGCCTACCATGTCTTCAGTTGTGAGCATGCTTGAAGGTAGGGCTGCTGTTCAGGAATTGGTTTCAGATCCAAATGCCTCAAGTTTTGAGATCGAAGCAATGAGGAAACATTTTCAATCCAGTTTCAGAAGGAACACCGGCAAAAGCCAAACACAAACTGCGTCAACTGAAGGGCCCTGGACCGGTTCGTCTACATCTGCTCATGATCTCTATCCAGTCAAGCCTGATTCAACTTACTGGGACAACAGAAAATAGAGAAACTGAGCAAACTTTCTTCACTCTCAAACATATATGTTCATATATCATTTCTACTCCCTCTCTAAATACACACACATATATATTTTTTGTTCGGCAAGATAGCTGAAAGAATAATATACATACACATCTTTGGTAGCCCTTCCAATGCTCCAACGACCCCAAGTGGACAATAGGCCCTTTTCTGTAACTTTTTGCGTCTCTTCAGAATTCTAAATTCTAAGTTGTACAGCCAATAGTAGGGCAATAATGCTAAAAGGAGCATTTGTGAACTAATTTAGAATTTAACCCTTTTGGTAAAGGCCTGACAAGGATATATTGAACTAATTCTTTTAGCCAAATCCAAGTTCCAACCCATTTGTGATCTTAATTTTTTTGTTTTGAAACGTCATTTGTGATCCCAATTAATGCAGATGGTGCAACCTATATGTGCATGCAGAATCATTTACATACTTAACCATAGTGATGGATCCATGAACTTTTTTTTCATGAGGGAAAAAATACAATTAACTGCGAGATACTCCATCAAACACCTTATTTTCATGTTACGAAAAATATCAATAGATGGAATTTCTTGGCTAGATTAATACTCACCCTAACATGAATCCTTCGGTATCTAACCTGCTTAAAATCACATTGTCTTAGGTCCTTGTTTTGGTGATGAAGCTATTATTTATTCTCACCAAATTCATATGAACTCTTTTTTTGACTTATTCGCACTAATACCTCTGAGGTTTTCGGTATTTTCACAAAACCCCATGAAGAGGTTTCATATTGTTTTTTTTTTTGTTTTTTTGTAAATACCACGAGGTGTCCCCACATCCAAAGGGTGGGATTAATCCCCGCTCGGAGTTCGGCTTGCTCCTGACCACAAAGTGTTTCCAATGGGTTTCGAACCCCTGCCATTGAGGTACTAAGTAACTCGCCAGCTGAAGGTGGCAGTTTGCTAGAGTGCTTTCATATTGTTTTCACAAAACCCATTTTCGTTCATTTTTTGTCCAAAGATTGATGATTTTATATATAAAAAATTCTCCAAATGACAATGTTAGCCACTGAAATTAGATTGCACATGCATTCATTGAGGTTAATTTTGTCATTTGCATAAGTTTTTTTAATGAAATGAAATCATCAGTATAAAACCTTAGGGGGTTTTCGTGTAATTTTTGAAACTTCAGGAGTTTTGTGAAAACAATGAAAACCTCAAGGGGTATTTGTGTACATAACTCTTTTATTATTTTTTATTTTTATAATATAACAAGAGGATAACTTTAATAAAGTGAGAAAAACGTACAGGGCATAAACATTAGCCAATTTGCTCATCAAGGCAATAAAGAAAAAGTGAATAACCACCAAATTAGTTATATAGAATGGAAAAGTTCTCAGAAGGGAGATTAATTTCGTTTTTGTATTTATGGAAAGGAGAAAAGGAAGAAACAGGAAAGTTCCCATTGCTCTAATCAATCTATTTGGAATCTAATTAAACAACCCAATTACAGCACAGAAAAAGGCAACTATATATGTCTGATTTCATTGTTTCTTTCCATTATGGCTACGTTTGGTTTATGGGAAGGATCCAGATCCTCTGCTCTGATTTGCTCTGCCATGATTTGCTTTGCTTTTGTACTCCACACGCCACCTCATTAAAATTTAATCTAAGGGACTTAAAAGCTGACACATCATTCTTCAAGCAAAAAATTACTCCTAAAGAAAAACAATACCCTAACCCAACTAACATCAAACTTAACATCGTCTCCCTTTTTTTTCTTTTTTTTTCTAAATTCTTATTAGCACATCTTCTTCCCGCCTTTGCCCCCAAAATCTTATCCCAACCAAGCTTTCGTTTCTCCAAAAATTCTGTAATCACAATCCCTTCTCTTTCCTCTATCAAAATAATATATATATCTTTCAGTAACCATTAATTTCAGAAAATAACCATAACTCATCAGTCAATAGACCTTACAAAACAATCCCAATATCCAGGTCTTGAAACGTAATTCCTCTTTTATCCAAGAAAACAGCGGAAGAATTTTTTTTTCTTCAACCACCCTCATCACATCAAAGGATATGGGGAAATAAGTTTGCTTTTTGTTCTTTTGATAGATGGGAACATGACCAATGGGATTTCCATGGATATCTATGTAAGATCCCATCTTGCCACGCCTTTAAGCAGAATGAAGAAGAATAAAGAAAATCAGGACTTCTACACGCAGAAAGAAAAGAAAAGAAAAAAATCAATTTTACATAACATAGTTGAGAGATTTTTTCTTTATGGATCCACCTTGTTGATATAGGTCATTCCATTGGAGGAGCTCCTTCATATTTGCCGACTCTGAGGACACACTTGAGCATACCTGGTGGCATTGAGTTCAATATTAACAATATTAAACAACCAAAGCTCCACCACTAAACAAACGCTGGAACAACCAGAATCGATTGTGATTATAGACAGGAAGGAATTGGGTTTTTGCTTGAAGAACGATGTGTCAACTTTAAGTCCCTTAGATTAAATTTTAATGTGGTGGCGTGTGAAGAGCAAAAGTAAAGCTGATCATGGAAGAGAAAATCAGAGCAAAGGATCCGGATCCTTATGGGAAAGGAGGCTCGGGGATGGAAAATCAATTGCTTTCTCATGTTTGGTAAATTCAGGTATGGAAATGGTTGCCTGACATGAGAAATTATTTCCCATCAAACCTTTTATGTGAACCAAACGAGGCCTATATGTATAAAACACTAGAAAAGACTTGTGCAGAGTGTAAATTAAAAGTGAAACGAGAGGCAAAGAGTAAATTGGAATTTATTTTATTTTTCTAAGTAAGGTATTGAGAGAAGGTAAAACAAGATTTTCCTTGATGATTATATAATAACACTTTTAATGGGTTACTTACCCTATTAAAGTCTACATCAAGGGTTAAGGTACGTCTAAACTTCTGTTTGAAACTCTACAGAAATTCCATCTCACAAACCCTAACCGTCATAACTCTTTCTCTCTCTCACACAAGGCTCTGGCCGCCACACATAGCTCCGGCCACCCAGTTCACACCATACATACATCTCCATACCCTTTTGTTAGCTATTGTTTTCCTACAAACACTCAAACTAACTTAGGCATCGGAGGGCCTTTGGCCAACACCCCTAGGTGTGGTCCTCTTATTCCGATTTGTTTTCCAGGGAGAAAGAGACAACGAAGAGGAAGACGAAATCTTATACGAATATTCTCGTGGGATGAAAATCGCTCCCACAAATTGGTGCTTTCATTGAGAGTACAAGTTATACTCAACACGTGCTCAAGGAATCCGTTCCTCCTATTTTCCAATCCACCAAAGCCTTCCAAACAACCATAGTTGGAAGCAAACGCCCCAGGAACAAAACCACCGTGACGGCGCACTCCAAAATGGCCGAAACCTCGCTGCCACCTCGAGGTACAGCTGCTGCCAGCATTTTGCAGCAGCCTCCCACGGCTGCCAACATGTTCCAGCAGCCCCCTAGCAAGTTCCAGCAGCCCCCCATGGCTGCCCGTGCCGTCCAACCACCTCCGGAGGCCTCACAACCTCTCCAAACAGTTGTTGTAGCAATAGGACAGCGGCCAAACTATCAGGCCAGCTCCTCGCAGCCGCGAATCATCTCCGTGAACCACCAAATAGCGGCTGGAATTGCCGCACCACTCGCAGCTGCACCAAGCCACTACCCCATGGCTTCCACCGCCGTGGCGCATGCACCGCCACCCATGACAGTGCCCCCATTCGTGACCACCTCAATGCCATCTCGGGCCATTCCCCGTTCTTGGAGCAAATCCATTCGCTCCCTTCTTTGTAACCACACTTGAAGTATGCACCATGTACGCATCCAATGGAGCCCTAGCCCATATGTCATTGGGCCCGATCCACACCTCTTTTCCCGACCTACGCAGTCAAGTGGGCCTTAACTCACTAGTCGATCAACTCACACAGAGGGTCGACGACCAAAACAATCTAATTGGCCAACTACTCAGGCAAATCAACTTGAATCAAGGCCTTAACCTTGGAGCCTGTGATGAGGAGAAAATGATCCACGACAATACTGACGAGCATTTTGAGAGATCTCAGACTAGTCGGACAGAGACAAAAAGGGCAGGGGACAGAACAAGATCGTGCTGAAGAGACGCAAACATCTGCAAGCTGTACTCTAAGTTGGTCGACGATCCGTTCGAGGTTAGGTCCGAGGACCAATGTGCACGAGAGGTTGGGCCCACAGTCCAATGTCCACGCTCGATTGGGCCTGCAAAGAAGTATCCGTTCTGGGCTAGGCCCACAAGGAGCGAAAGTTCGTGAATAATTGTGTGGCGAACGCAACGACCGACGATCACCAACCTACTCGAGAACCAACTCACGATGACAAGCCGTGAAGGAATCCTCGCAAGCTCAATCTATTAATCTGCCTCAGTGGCAGAACAACCAAGGAGGTCGACCTTTGCAAGCCAACTAGGAAGTCAACCAACGTCGCCCAAATCGTGAAGGTCACCGATGTGACCAGCATGCCATGCACGCGGAGGATGTCGAGAAGCTCGTAAATAACCAACTTTGAGACTTAAAGATTAGCATAAATTTCGAAGATACTCTACATAGGGAGGTAGACCAAGCAAACTCCACGCCTTTCACCACTGAAATTGAGCAGGTTGCTGCCCTAAAGCAATTCTCAACGCCTTCTTTCACACACTTCAAAGGGGATTCCAACCCCGAAAGCCATCTGAAGCACTTCAAGAGTGTTATGATCCTCTACAAAGTCGAAGACGTGCTGATGTGCAAGGTGTTCGCAATAACCTTGCGAGGAGCAGCCCAAGATTGGGTTCTACACCCTTTCATCTGGGTCGATCAGCAGCTTCAAGGAGTTAGCTTACGTCTTCACTAAGAAGTACACTTCTTATCAAACGATCAAGAAGAACCCTAACCACTTGTTCAAACTGTGAGAAGTCAGATGAATCCCTTTGAAATTACATCAAGAGATTCAAAGCAGAAAAGGCAAACATTGTAGGGCACGATGACCAAATCGTGTCCTCTACTTTCAAGAAAGGTCTTCCAGCTGAGCACGACTTATACCGCGAGCTAACTATCGCTCCTAGCCAGACTCTGGTAGAGGTCTTCGCGACCACGGAACGCTACGCACTATGGGATGACAATAGAATCGTCACGAAGAAGTCTACCAAGAAGGAAGATTAGCCAACCAAGCAGGCAGGCCAAAGAAGCGATATGCTCAGTAACAGGAACAAAGACAAACGTAGATTGCACCCACAAGGAGACGCTATGGCAGAAGAGAACTACACCAAGTTCACCATCCCCATACATCAAATCTTAGCCCAAGTGAAGGACAAACTTTGGGGAAAAAGACCGCCACCCTTGACAGGAGATCCAGATAAGAGGGATGCAAGAAAATATTGTGCCTTTCTTGGGATGCACGGGCACAATACGAATAACTGCTTTGCTTGGAAAACGCACCTCGAAGAACTCGTGAGAAAAGGCCACTGCACGAAATTTATTGCAAAGCAGGCCATCTAGTAGATTGGGGACCGCGATACCGCCAAGGAGCCACCCCAGAAGGTCATAAGGATTAACACAATCCTGGACGACTTCGAGGAGTTTGAGCTGACCAGCAAAGAAAAGAAGAGGAAGATCAAACAAGCCACTGTGATCTCCCACAACTCGACCAGCCTCCCACCAAAAGAAGATGATCCCGTGATCGGCTTACAAAAGAAAGATCTAATCGACTTCGATCTGCCACACAACGATACTCTTATCATCAACATTCAAATCTCTCAGGCCATGGTTGACCGAATCCATGCAGATGAGGGCAACGCATCCAATATCCTGCAACCGGCAGTCATCCAACAGATGGACTTGGAGACGAAGATCAACAAATCAGCCAAGTCGCTGACTGGCTTCAATGGCGCGACTACGGTTATTGTGGGGACGATAGACCTCGATGTCTACTCTCCACCAATGATCAGCTCACAAACCTTCATGGTCATTGATGAAGTCTCCCCGAAGAGGACGTCGAGCTAGCACCCATTGATCCTGACAAGCCAAAGAGAAAAGCGCGGATCGACTCGCACCTAAGCCAGGATTCGAAGGTAGAGCTTGCAGCCCAAAACAACAAAGACGTATTCCTATAGTCGCCACCCGACATGCCAGGCATCAATACCCATATCATCTGCCATTACCTTCATGTCAACCCAAATATCAAGCCAGTGGCGCAGAAGAGACGTAACTTTGTTCCCGAGCGAGTTGTCATCATTGAGGCCGAGATCGACAAGCTTCTAGCTGCCAGTTTCATTGAAGAATTCTCCTACGCAGAATGGCAAGCAAATGTTGTTCTACTGGCAATGAAAGATAAAGGCATGTGAAGAGTTTACGTCGACTACACCGACCTCAACAAGGCACGCTCTAAAGACAACTTTCCACTGCCGAGAATTGATCAGCTTGTCTATTCAACTTCCGGCATAATCAAATCATGATGCATGAGGATGACAAGGTAAAAACCTCTTTCATCGTCGAGAAAGGGACATACTACTACAAGGTCATGCCATTTGGGCTGAAGAACGCCGAAGTAACCTACCAAAGGCTAGTGAACAAAATTTTCAAATAGCGAATTGGCAAGACTGTGGATGTCTACGTAGACGACATGCTAGTCAAAGCTCTGCAAAGAGCAGACCACGTCAAAAACCTTGCCGAAGATTTCAGCCTACTCCGAAAATACAGCATAAAGTTGAACTAGAGAGAAAAGCACATTTGGAGTCTCATCCGGCTGATTCCTGGGATATTTGGTCAACTAAAAAGGAATTGAGGCACATCCAAATCAAATCAATGCTATACTCAACATGAAGTTGCCTGCCACAACCAAGGAGATAAGTTGCCTGCCACAACCAAGGAGATACAAAGTCTAACGATAAAGCAGCAGCTCTCAACCGATTCCTCTCAAAATCAACCAACAAATGCAAGCCATTCTTCGAAGCATTGAAGAAAAGGCAAAATGACAAGTGGGACGAAGAGTGCAAAGTAGCCTTTCAAAGCTTAAAGACCTACCTCACTTCGCCTCCCCTACTCTCAAAACTGATACCAGGCGAAGACTTGTTCATCTACCTAGCGGTGTCCAACTCAGCCGTCAGCTCAGCTCTCATCCGAGAAGAGCTAGGGGCACAACATTTGGTATTCTACACTTCAAAAGCTCTCCTCGACGCAAAGACTGGCTACCCGAAAATGCATAGGCTAATTTTTTCGCTTGTAGTTTCTGCAAGAAAATGAAGGCCCTACTATCAAGCTCACCAAATAATTGTCATGACTGAATTCCTCTTGAGATCGATCCTCCACAGCCCCGACGCCTCTCAGCAACTCATGAAATGGGTTATCGAACGCAGTCAATACGACCTCCAATACCAGCCGAAGACTATTATAAAAGCCCAGGCTTTAGCAGATTTTGTTGTACAGTTTACTCCGATAGCTGAAGAAGAAAAGTTGGTCACGAAAAAAAATTGAGGGCAGACGATACCTCCTCTGCCGATCCAAACCTACCCAACGACATGTGGCAGTTGCGAGTAAACGGAGCATCAAATCATAAGGGATCGAGGGCAGTCGTATTAATAATCACCTCAGACGAAACTTTGTTGGAACAAGCCATCACATAAGGCTTTCCTGCTTCAAAAAACGAGGCAGAGTATGAGGCATTTCTCGCCAGACTGCGCCTAGCAAAAGAACTATCAATCAAAAGATAAGCCATCTACTCAAACTCCCAGCTAATAACGAATTAAGCCTCAGGCGAGTACATGACAAAACATCCAAGAATGATCCAGTACCTCGACAAAGTCCAAGGACTTTTGAAAGAATTCCTTACTTTCATCATTCAACAAGTTCCACGAGCAGAGAACACTCATGCAGATGCATTGGTGAGCCTAGGATCAACGCTAGACACCCAGTTTAGAAGCTCCATCCCGATCAAACACCTTAACTGACCAAACATCGAAGAAATAGAGCCAATCGACACAATGCAGATTGATGAAGACCCTAGCTGGTAAGACCCCATCATCGATTACTTGGTGAATGGAATTCTGCCAACTAACAAGTTTGAAGCTAGGAAGGTCCATCAGCAGGCCGCGAAATACTACATGCAAGATGACAAGCTCATTCGTAAATCATACTCCAGCCCTCATCTCACCTATATAAAGTACCCTCAAGCACTTGAGGTCCTCTACAAAATTCACGATGGCGAGTGTGGTAACTACTCTTGGGGTAGGTCACTAACCCAGAAGGCTCTAAAGATAGGCTATTTTTGGCCTACCATGCGCCACGACTCCACCGAATATGTCAAGAGATGTGATCGCCACCAAGGGTACAAACCGATTACTAACCTGCTTGCTGAAGTCTACTATCTGTAGAACAGTCTGTAGCCATTCATGCAATAGGCCACTAATCTAGTGGGTCCCGTGCCACCGGCACCCGCCAAGAAAGACATGATGATCGTCGTCACTGATTACTTTACTAAATGGATCGAGGTCGAAGCTCTGTCCTCTACTAAAGAAGCCGACGTGGAACGATTTGTTTGGAGAAACATCATCTGTTGGTTTGATTGCCCATAATCACCGGTTACCGACAATGGCTCACAATTCATTGGCAAGCAGATCACTGCCTTCTTTGCAAAATACAAGATCAAGCAACACATGTCCACCCGAGGTATCTACAAGGCAATGGTCAGGCAGAGGCATCCAACAAAATTATATTGGATTGCCTAAAGAAGAGACTAGAAAGGGCCGAAGGAAAATGGGTAGATGAGCTCCCTAGAGTACTATGGGATTATTGCATCACCAAGCGAAGATCGACTAACGAAACCCCATTTTCCCTTGCCTATGGGACGAAAGCAATCATCCCTCCTCACATCACTGTCCTATCCAAAAGCATTGAGGTTGGCAGTGTTGACCAGAACTCTGAACAATTGAAGCTCAACCTCGACCTACTCGAAGGAGAACGCGAGAGAGCTATTGTCTAAGTTGCCTCCTACTAGTAGCAGTTGAAGTCTTGTAACGACAAAAGGGCCAAGGTCAGGCAATTTCAACCGGGCGACCTTGTCCTCAGAAAGACTTTCATCACTGCACAGAGACAAAGATTAAAAAATATGAAACCCAATTGGGAAGGCCCCTACGTGATCAGCCAATCCGAGGGCAGAGTAAGCTATACGCTTGACACCATGCAAGTAAAAGAGATTTCATAACAAAGGAATGCCTGCCACCTCCAAAGATATTATACATGACACTTCCTCCTACCTGCTCAGTTCCAAGCTGTCAGCTGCGCAGATCTCACGGCCTGGGGTTCCGGGCCGAGGGGATGTGCGTTAACACATGGCTTCCTGCTTTTGGATGCGGTGCGGTTGTGCGCGGGCGTGCCAGCACGGTCTACCATGCGTCGAGATTTTCATGTGGATAGAATGGTCAAGTGGTGCGCCTATTTGAACTCGTCTTCTAATCAAACGATTGTAGCCGAGAGAGGAACTGATCTCGGCTGCAAGGTTCACGGCCTGAGCTACAAGGCCGTTTAGGGGTGGTGCTGATGGTGGGTTTAGGGCGGTGCTCTGGCGCGCTGCTCAGTGAGCGGCGGTCGTATGATATATGGGGTGAATGAATGAGTAACAGAGATGGTGCTTCGGCGCCTTGAAAATCAAGGGTCGTATGATATATTGATGAATG